ACTGGCATGAGATGGACTAATTAGTTAGTGAGGGCTCATTCCTATGCTCTGCCCCTCCCATGGTCTAACCAGTGTGACAAGTAGGACATATATCTGAATGTAACTCCAGTGTCAGTTTTACTTTATGTTTCATGTCAGTAGTCAACATCATGCCTGTAGTTGACTCCTATACCCACAGCTATCACACGGAGTATGGTATATGAGACAATCTCTTCCTTTGAGCTACTTCATCTTGTTTATTTAAAAAAATAATATTAAAAAAACCCTGTATTTCTAAATCTCTCTCTAATGTGGCTAACTAGTCAAACAGTTTTCTTTGTTAAGTAGTCTTCAGCATCTAAGCAGTCTTTAAAATGGAATAATTTGACTTCTTAACCTCACTGGGATCAATGTTTTGAACTGCTACACAAATGTAATTTTTTCCTGGCTCAGAATCAGCTGAGTTGCACCAGGAAAGTCAAGATCCTTAACTGCCAGGAGCACAAAAAGCTGCACATAGCTGAAGAGTCTCATGGCAAGAGCTGGACCCTTTCTCCTGGAGGACAGGAACTCGCTCCTGGGTAGGGCTCAGGTATTATATTTGGGCTGGCTGCCTTGCCACGTGCATCCTAAATCCCAAGGTTGTGCCCTGCCTCAGAGGTGCCATACAAAGCCAGCCAGGTGTCCATGTAGGACCTGACATGCAGCTATCTGTAACTAAAAAGTGAAGTGCTTAGCCTCACAAATGCCACAACAGCCGTTCAAGGGGAATTCCCTTCTTTAAACACAGAAATGTGCTTCAGAGCAAAGAAATTTAAAGAAAAATCCCTGCTTATGGTCCCTCTGCAGTATCGTCTTCAGCAGCCACTAGACAAGTGGCCTCTCTCAGAGAGTAACACCACCAGGTTTATGACAGGCCCTCTGTTTTGCTTTGGCCGAACTCCCCATCACGTTAATTTTATCCTGGCTCCTCAAAAGCACTTAATGCTCCAAAGCAGTAGGTCCATAAAATAGATATTAATAGAGCACTTAGAACATACATGTTCGTGATTAGCATCTTAAAGGTTAAGAACACAAGTAAAACAAAACCTGGAGTAATTCCAGCCTTGAGTCAGGAAGGATTTTAGCACAGAAGACATGTCATGCACCAAGGGGGTGCTGTTCTATAATTTGTACCAAGAAATGGGGGTTAGAAAGGAACATTAGTTTACAAAAAAAAAAAAAAAAAAAAAAAAAAAAA